AGAGAGAGAGAGAGAGAGAGAGAGAGAGAGAGAGAGAGAGAGAGAGAGAGAGAGAGTACTGGGTTTGGGTTGTTTCTGAACCATTCTTTGTTTCTTGTGCACAAAGATTCGATTATTCAGGATGAGTGGGCTGACATCATGAAATATCAAGTGAAGCTAGGAGAGCTGGCAGAGAAAGAGCTGCAGAAGAAAATCCAGGAGCAAAAGAAGATGATGCGCAGTGGATTAGATCAGCAGGTAGGCTGTATGTATATACATGTATTTATCTATTTCCTTTGGTTTCCTCTGCTGATTTCCCCGAATCTTGGATTGTTCCTCAGTGTTAGAATTCGCCGGACCAAGATTCGTTTAGGGGTTCCCATCAAATAGCCCCTTTGGTAAGCGACAACTGTACCGCTCCCCTGGACTCCGAAGAATCTACGTCAAACGGACCTACAGCGAACATGTGATGCCTTTCTCCATGAATGTATCTAAACGTTCTAAACGTTCAGACGGATGAATTACTGGTGCAAAATTCGTTGGACTGACTTCAGTCGAGAGTTTTGTCGTCAGATTCCAGACCAGGATCGACAAGGCCTCGCTTTCGAAGAATTATTATGGTAAGATGCGTGTATAGACTCTAGAGTCTTCTTTCAAAAACAAGTATACCAATCTATATACTCAAAACCTCTTTCCCAAATGAAGTTAAAATACACAAAATCATTCGACGTATGAAAACTCAACATTGGTCAGTGCTGAGTGTGGAAGAAAGATATATCATCATTAGCCATTGGCAAGTCATTGAAATGATTGTGGATGCTAGCTACTATGAATTGCCCTCTTCTACTGGGCCTCGTAAATGAAAGCTATGCACAATGATTTTTGATAAGTTTTGCTTCTAGTTTACCAAGAAAGGGCGTAATTGCAAAGTATAAGGAAAAAAAAACTGATGCAATTTGCCCAATTGTTACATAGGGTGCTTCCACAGGTTATATATATATGTATATATTATATATATTATTATATATTATATAAATATATTATATATAAAAGATATATATTATATATTAGATATATATGATATGTGTATTATATATATATACATATATGAAACTCCGACGAGACAGTTTGTCACAACCCCTCATTTGTTGTCTTCTTCTCCCTCTCTGCCTACGGTTTACAGGGCAGCTCTGTTTGACGATATATATATCGTCACATGAATATCAGAGCGCAAAGGCGAAAAAAAACAGAAGCGAACAAGAAAAAAATAATTCGTTTTTTTATCTTCTTTCTTACAACTCCCCCTGTTCAGAACCTCTTGCGTACAAGGCCGCCCACGTGGATGTACCCTGCCTCTTCCTCTCACATGCTTCTCATGTCCTTCCCTCAATTTAACGTGTTTATTGAATCCTTTTTTCTAGGATAATAATTCTAAGTTCTCACTGCATCTGGCTGCATTTCTGGCTAAATCCTGTCAGGATTTTGCTGCTGTGATTTGCCCTGCCAATCAAGCCTTCACAAAGTTCAGAGTCTGCAGATCTGCAAGCATCAACGTTACCCAAATCCAAATGTTCAAACCTTTGACTTATTACCTCTTTTTTTTTTCTGTTTTTTTCTCGGTACTCTTGATTATTTCTTCTTCCCCCTTCCTTCCCCCTCCTCTTACCTTTGACTGACTTCTTCTTGGGGCTTAACTTTCACCCCAGTCCACTTAGCCGTTTGGTTGAGTGTGTGCCTCCTGACCGGGAGGGCGTGTGTTCGATTCTTGGGATCGGCACGTGAAGCATAAGGATTCAATTCTTACCTGCGTAGCAACCTGCAGTGAGGTCGTACATTGTCTGGTGGCTGCGTCGACGCCTGTGTTGGGTGTGTGTGTGACTGGGTACACCGGGTCGCGGGGAAAACCGAGTACCCGTGCTGGGGTGGGGTTAAGCGCTCATCTTGGGGCTTAACTTTCACCCCTGGGCCAGTCCACTTAGCCGTTTGGTTGAGTGCCAGCCTCCTGACCGGGAGGACGAGTGTTCGATTCTTGGGATCGTCACGAGAAGCATAAGGATTCAATTCAATTCTTCTTCTTCTTCTTCTGTTTTTTTTTTTGGGTACCTTTTACTTACGTCTTCTTCTCCCTTGAACTACAACCATCACCATCTAAATTCTGGAAACTTTGAATTGGCCAATTCTGAAACACAAAAAACCCTCAAGTTGGCCTTAGCCCAAAATCCTTCTTAAAAAAAATAAAATAATAATAATAAATTTAATATTTATTGAAAAAATATTAGATTAAATAAGGCTCTTAAATTTTGTAATCTAAAATTGGCCAGTTCTGAAACACTAAAACCCCTCAAGTTGGCCTTAGCCCTAAATCCGTCTTTTTGAGAATTTCGAATTTAATAAATCTATTGAAAAAAAATCTTAT